AAAAAAGAAAAAGCTTAGTGACCAATAGAAGTTAAAACACAGCCTGCAGAAGGGAAAACAGTGCCCTCCTTCTTAAATGGAATAGGAAGGAGGTATTTCAATTATGATCTGTGACTTATAATGATAATATGTTTTGCAATACTTCTTAAGGTTTAGAGAAAATGCTGACAAAGATCCTGCAATCCTAATATCAATATTTCAATTTTAGATGCAATAGAAGATGGATTCTTATTCCATCTTCTATATTCCTAGTAGGATATATAAAGCATGAAAGAGTGTTGCTCCCCGCCTAAAGAGTAAAACTAGGTAAATAGCAAAATCATAACTTTGCTTTAATCCATTAGAAAATTGAGGTTACAGGGCAACCAAGTAGGCTGAACTCCAATGAAGAAGAGGCTCTCCCAAGGAGAGACAGTTATGTGGATTTGCCTAGACCAGCCTCTCACATGAAGAAAAAGTCTTAAGCTGTTGCAGATGGGAATAAGAGCTGAGAGAAAATTCTGTCACCTCCCAGAGCACAGGTTAAGATCCATTGCAGCAGAGACAGGAATCAAGAAGTAAAATAAAAAACCATCTATATTTAGAAGGGGCAGGAAACCATTATGAGCTGAAGATCCTAGAACAATACCATCCTAATTCTGCTACCAGTGAGAAAAGCAGAAACTTTCTCTTGCACAAGACCCACACAGAAACATGGCAGTGTTTGGCTGCCTTGGGGAGGAAAAGCATGAATGCTAAGACCCTACATCCAAGACCCAGACACAAAGGGCTAGATTGAAGCTGGACTAAGACAACAGAGAAGTCCACCTACCCATGCAATGAGCCTAGTGAACACTAGGATAACAAGCAATGGCAATCTATTACTGGGGGAGGAGCAGGAGGAGAGAGAGAGAGAAAACTGCAGGAATTCAGGGACAACTAAAAGTTGAGGTGAAGTATGCTAAAAGATAGATTCTGACTTCTGGTCAAGATGGCAGAATAGAAGGTCCCCAGAGTCACTCTCTCCCACAAATCAACCAATTTACAACTATTAAAAGGCAACAACAGCCAAGCGGGGCCCACTAGCGCTCAGGGGAAGAGGAGGAGAGACCTATGGAGAGCATGAAGGTGGTAGAAGCCATGATGAGAGAAAGAAAAAACTGCTCCAACCATTTCAAATCCCGGCTGATTCCAGGCTAGAGGTGCTGAGCACTTGGAGCAGGAGCTGGCAAAAAGCTGAAGCTGTGCCCTTCAGATGAAGTTGCTTGGAGGTGGCAGGGGAGAAGAGGGTTGTGGTGGCCTCCAGGCCAGCAAGACCACTAATAGGGTTCCCATGGACCTACACAGGAGTGAGGAGCCAGAACAACTGACAAAAAGGAGCCTCTCAGAGGCCAGTGAGTCATAGCAAGGGTCCAGAGCATGGCCCGTCCCCTGGGAAGTGTTTGGAGCACAGGCTGTGGGGAAGATGGGTCCACAAGGAGAACACTGGGGCGCAGCAAGAACAGCTGATCTGCCTCCCAATCAGCACAGGTCCACTCAGTGGAGGTTGTTCAGAAATACAAAATTTTATGGGGTGTGGTTTGCTGAAAAGTCTCAGGCCCAGACCAGAGTTTCCACACAACCCAGGTGTATCAGATGTCATGAGACCAGAAGTACCTATAACGTCAACCATTAAACCCTGAGCTGCACAA